GATGCATCTGTGGTAGAGTCTAATGAGTAATGATCCAGGTGCCAAGGGAGGCTCTGATCAGGCAGGGTGGGAGAAGTGATCAGTGAAGAAGCTGGGCATGTGCAATGAGGAGACCTTAAAAACTGCTTCCCTTGCCCTATCTGCCTTTTCTTCCTCATCTAAGCAGTCTGTTAAAGAAACCTAGAGAGAGGTCACTGGGAAGCTAAGTTTCCCACAGCAACATGGTATGCAGCTTCAAGTAGGAGTGAGCAATCAGTTGTGGTTAGGTGTTTTCTTTTTAAGAGCTTGACTCCGATTAGCAGCTGTAGAGGTTCAGTATTTGTCTGTCCTGGGGCCTTTCTCTTTATCTCACACATCAGGAGTAGGGGGAAAAACCATAGGATGGCACAAAATCACTAGAGGTTAACCTCTGTAACGCTTCTAGCAAAGAGGCAGATGGCATTGAAGATGAAATCACAGGGCAGTCCCTGCCTTTGCCAAGGCAGGTGTGGGGAGTTCTGCATCACTTCCAAGGATCCTTTGATTCAGAGAGCTAAAAGAATAGGGCTGCTCTTCTGTCTGTGGCTCCTGGATCTGAATTTAAAATGTCTGCTGAAAATAAGAAACTCACCACACCGCTGCAGAAAGCAAAAAGAAAGTCCAAATACAATAGAGAGGCAGCTTAAATCAAGGGGGAGCTTTTGCTCAGCAGTCAGTGAGTTTAAGGAGATCAGCAGCCTACCATCAGGGATATATAAACCCACGTGAGAAATGTTTGCAGACCTGAGGTTCTGTCCTGGTGGGGCATTTCTGGAAAGCTGTGATGACTTTCTCCCCTTTTGTCCCCTACTTTCCTAGGTTACACAGACAGCTTCTTTTTCTTTTTCTTTTTTTTTCCAGCTGACTTCATAATTGTCAGGCTCATTTAAAAATGAGGGGGACATTTTGACAAAGCAGGCAAGGTATTTGCAATACATTGGTTCATATGGAATAGGGGTAAAGAGAAATTCCCCATAGAGATTTCAGGCTTGTCATTGCTTAACAGAATGCATGCATGTGGGGAAGGAGTAACCTATTTTCCAACAAACCTATGGAAACATTGAATAAGCGATGCTATGATAATGATGAAAATTCAGAGTCACTTTCTTCTGATGCAAAACCGTATTATCCCTAGAGGTTTTCTTTTCCTTGTTTGGCTGCAGCACTCCTTTTATACCCAACCCAAATCTCCCACCTGCCTTGTTTCCTGCTACATATTATAAGAAATGATACAGATGCATTTATAAGGAATTAAAGTGACCTGCCAGTAGATGTCAATGTTGCTTGCATCAGAGTAGTTGGGGGAGTGCTTCCCTAGGAGTCTGGTGCTGCACATTCAGGCTACAAGAATGCATACCAACTGCAGATGCTTCCTCGGCCTCATGAAGGATATTTGTACCCAAAAGCTTGCAAAGAAGAAATATTTCTAACTATCTGAGTTGGTCTAATAAAAAATATCAGATTTACCCAAAGAACCTTGCCTCCTTCCTACTCAAACTTCTTATTTCTAGGTCGCATTTCTGGTGCTCTGAAAGTTGCATTTCTAGATGCATCAGCCAGTGTCAAAGGGAAATCATGAAGCCATCAGGGCCTGTTCGTAAGTTTGGTTTTAAAGAAAAACTAAGCATGTTCCACTCCTCTAATGAGAAGAGCAATGCAACAAAGCTGACACACAAGCCTTTTCCAGACAATAACTATGGTAGTATAGTATATAACTTGAGAACTTTACAGCGGAGGTCAGTCATTCTCTCCATTTTGTAGAAGCAGGAACTTGAGGTACAGAGAGGTGAAATGACTTGCCTAATGTTACCCTGAAGGCCAGTGGCTAGTTTGGGATCAGAGCCCACGTCTCCTGCAGTTCCAGGCTAATGTCTTATTCATTAGGCAATATTTGGTTTCCAGAGCCTTTTTAAAAAGTTGCGTAAATGGATATTGTTGCCCTCTTCATCGATGCTTATCTTTCCAGCTCATACTGCAGCATTCAGCAGCAACCTTTTTCTAGTTTTCTGAGATTCCTCCTTAAATTCAGAGGTTAGTCCCTAAAGAATACAAGCAAGCAACTCATCTGACTCTCATAGTTGGCCTAGGATGCTGGCCTAATCCAGTAGTGTCAATTCTTATCTACTTCAAGATCCTGTCTTTTTGATAGCAGCTTCTAACTGGGTATCTTAGAGGAAGGTATGAAAACCTTGCAGTGGATTTCATGACATGACCTATCCAATGGGTATATTCCTTCTCAGGCATTCTCAGAAGTTGACATATGATTTGGAGCCGAGTGCTTTGGATCCCTTTTGAAACTCCTGGCTTTTCTCTTCAACCTTGTACCTGGGGATCTGTCTGGAGGTTGCTGCAATTGGTAGAGATGTTCCAGCTCTGCCCCCTCCCCACTGTCCCTTGGCGAGGCCATGTTTCTTCAGTTCTCCAGGTTGGAGCACACCAGTTGTAGTGAATAGGAGGCCAGGAGGAAGTTTCCCCTGGCATTTTTCACTGGGCAGGGGAGAGCAAGAAACAGTATCATGATGCAAGTCGTGGGGGTGCACAGCAGAATTTTACAGGTATTATTTGCGATCCCCCCACCAGAGCAAATAACATGTTACTATTTCATACACCTACCTCTGCCACTGGCCCTATTCTGTTGCTTTCCATGTGAGGTTCTCAACGCAGTTTGCCAACACTCATCTTCACAGCTATTGTCTTGTCTTTGGTATTAACCCTGCTAAAGTATGGGAAAGAGGCACAAAAGTCAAGTGACCGCCTGCAAGTTTTCTTGCTGTTTTTTAAGCAAAGTTTCTGTTTTTCCCACCATGACAAATTAGTTTTAAGCAGCCTTAGTTACCTCTGGTTTAGGACTGGCTTGAACATGGATGGACTTGGTCACAATTCGTTAACAAGTGATAATGCAAAAATATAATCCGCCCTGGAGCCATGTTGATGACTGGCACTTCACCAGCACATATGCTATCACACTCATTTCCCAAAAAAACAGACTAGGGCCCATTCAATGCCAGGTTGTACGAGAGTCATTAAACGTTAATAAACCAGACCCAGTCTTACCAAGCCAAAAAGTGCTCATTCTATGCTGCCTTGAATAGCAGTGCTCACTAATCAGTCTGACGCAAATAGCTAGTCCCCGTTCTTCATCCTCCTTTCACACCTGTCCGCTAGAACAATCACCTGGATTTAACAAGACCACAGCAGGGCTTTTTAATTAAGTAAAGGACAAGGCTCTCATTCACTCTAAGGATGTGGCTGGTAGGAAATGGAATTATTATTGCACAGCGTTCGTGTGAACTCTGCACCTGCATGTTTTCACATCCAGACACTTGGCTTTGTTTCTCTCTGGTGCCTGGTAAAGGAAGTTGGCACCTCGAACACATTTATTTAGTTGTATTCCTGCTCCTCAAGGAGTACAGCAAGAGCTCTTCAAATTAATTTTATTACACTATAAAGATGTCCTTAATCTTTAGGCTTGACTCTTTCAGTATCGCACCATACCAGTGCCGGACTGAAGAGTGTTCAGGTTCAGACAAGTTTATGTGGCTTCTCCTTTAGTGAGCATTTCACAAAGGGGATAGTGTTAACTGGTTTGACTCTCCCTGATTCCCAGTTTGACTGTGGCAAGTTGCTTGACAGCCTCCCTGCTCCTGAGGTGCCAGCTGTAAAATGGGATGTGTGTCTTACAGAGCAGTAAGAAAGACTTGGTTCATGAATGGCTATGAAGTGCATGGATGAGCAGGTAGTGGTTGTCTCCTGCAGTGCCTGTGTTTGGGGAATGCCCCCCTGGGCTGCACCAGAAGCTTTCAGAGCCCATAAATCCACAAAAGGGCCTGGGCAAGGTCCCTGTGGGATCTTGAGAAACCAAACCTAAAGGTCTGAGCAGACTCAGCACTTAAGGAATGGGTTGTAACATGGCTCAGAAATGCCTTGCGCATTAACATCTGGTTTAAATGCACAATCAACTCTCCAAATGAGAAGTCATGTTACTCCAGAAGGATGAGGAAACAAACCCAAATAAGGGACTTTTACATCTGCTCTTTGTTGTGACCTGTGGGTGTGAATTCCTCTTTACAAAGGAGAAAATAGAGAGGAAATGATAGTTTAATGTAAACACTTAGTCATACCCAGTTAACCCTTGCCATGCTCAGTGTTTTCATTTCCTCTTACTGGAAAATTGACTGCAAAATCCTGATTTCCCCTCCCCTTCCCTTTTATTGACTCTCTCTGCCTCTCTAAGTCTCACAATCCTTTTCTTTTTGGTCCCAGTGTGCTTGGTGGTGTAAATGGTCTGGGCACTAGATTAGACATTTTCCTAAAGTTGCTCTTGCACTCCATAAATCAAGCGGGTCCAGTCCCCATAGTACATCACTCATCCCCTGCATTCTCCAGTGACTCTAATCTTCTGTGACAGTAAACCCATTTATTCCACCTGCCAATATATTTATCCCCAATGATCCTAAAACAGTGATTTGCCCTTAGTTTCCAGGATTTTGGCTGTGAGGACCTAGAAAGGTTCAGTGGCTATTTACACATCCTGCATGTGCCTGTATTGGGATATATTCTGACTGTTTCAGCATAAAGGATGTCCGTGTTTTGTTGGTGCGCTTTGTTGGGCGGAGTGTCTCTGTAATGCAGTGTGGACTCCGGGAATTGTCTTCTGTTTTGGGGAGCTGTCCTGATTGGAAAACCATATAACGTATCTGAATTGAACCTTCCTGGGTAAGAGGGGGAAACCACTTGTGTAGCACAAAATTACCCTGATGCCAGACCTGCGTATCTTCTACAGACACACTTTGGTCTCTGTGGGCACTGCAGGAAGGGCAAGATGGAGTTGTGATCACACACAAGACTTTATTGTATTGTGCACTAGATCAAGCGTCCAACTCCTGATAAGAGGAGATCCCACAAATCCCATTCCTCCTGTTCTCACTTGACACTTTCTGCCCAGTAGAACAAGAACAACACCAAAAAAAACCAAACCCCACTGCTGTTGCTTGCAAATGAAAGTTTGTTTTTATTGGGGCGCACACACTTGAAATCAGGCCTGAGGGATGAAGTGAAAGGCTAAAATAGGCTATGGCAAAATGAAGAAAAAAATCATTCATCAGTTTGAAAACCTACCAGACATGCTGAGAGGTGCTAAGACTTTTCTCCTATCCCTTCTCCTCCTCAGCTCTGATGTGTATCACTGTAATAGTTGCAGGCCAAAGAGAAACTAAGCAAGTATAGTGAAGAAGGTGGAAATCCATGTTACTGATCTCAGAAGCACTGAGAGGATACTGAAGAGACTCTGAATCTACCTTTCATTTAACTTCCCGTGGACATGTTCTTGAAGCTTTTCTTTTTCCCTGGAGGATTTAAGGCCAGTTGCAACACTTGCATGTGCCATTATAAACCAGTCTGTCAGGACAGGACATGCTGAAGGTGGCCTTGTGAGCACAGATGTAAAACTTGGTGTTATCCTCTGGGACAGGATAAATGCTGTCATCCTTATTAAGGCAAAACTTGGAGGCTGGAACAGGCTGAGGAGCTGTTTTGAGGTTGGTGCTGGTTGAAGCAGCTGTTGATCGTACCATCCGTGCAGTGGTTGAAGCAGCTGTTGGTTGTACCATCCCTGCAAATGCATTAGCAGAAATAACATTGTTGAAAGCAAACCCAAAGACAAAATTACATGATGTATTCTGTGGCCAAAGCCTGGTGGTCATGGAGGATTGGTGAAACAGAGAAGAGGACATTAATGCAGAGCGGTGGCACTGTTTTGAAGTGTGTCTTTTCAATCAAATCAGGCTTGAGTAACAAGATGCAAAGCTCTGATGCTCAGCAGTCTGGGAAATTAAACAAAAAGAAAGCCCACCTCCAAGATATCCAGCACGCGTGAATGATTTTAAGAGGCCTAACCTATGTTGTAATCCAATGCAAGGCTTAGATCATTTTTCGGGCATGTTTTTTGTGTCCAAGGCTCCTTTCCCTTTACACTGGACACCACAGCAGAGATGCCTCCATAGCCTTTTATCTCTTACAAAAGAGGAAGCCACCAGCTGCATGTGGTCATTAAAACCAAAAAAAAGGTCATGTATTATGTGGATATTGTAATGGGTACAGGTGGCCAGTGGGCCTTTGTACGGGTGCGCAGGGGTGTGGGTGCATTTTTTCTGTAACGGGATAGGATTGATCCTTTTGGGATGTGATAGGTTAGAGTGTAGATATATATGAATGAGAGCGAGAGAGACATATATTTTTACAAAAGAAAAAAAATGTATTATGCAAGTGTGTTGCTTTTACTGTTTCCTTGAAGGCTTTTGTGACTGATCAGAAGGGACTGGGGCTGTTGTTGTTGCACAAAGTTTGTACTTCTTTCTTTCCTTCCAGCAGCACAAACCTCTTTCCCAATAGCAGAAGACACATGGGCCAGAAATGTTCAGCCCACATGTATAACAGATGATTCACTCATTCCTCACCACATCCCAATTTCTTCAGGGTGTTTAGAAGAGGGTATGTTCCTTGATTGCAGAAAGAGCCACTGAAGTCATCCAAGTCAAGAGCCCAAATCATGGCACCTCCCAAACCGTTGTTCTTTAGATACTGAACCTAGAAGAGGGGAAAACCCACATGTAATATGAACTCTGGTGCTGTGGGGAGGCAGGTGTGATGCCATTTCATCTTTGTTAGGGCTCTGCAAGCTGTGACAGCTCTAGAAGGGTCCTATTGCCATTCCCAAGTCATTACTGGCTAGGGGATAGGTGGGAGAAGAGACCAGCACTTGCTCAGTGTGCCAATTCTCAGATCCAGGAAACTTCATTAGGGCAAGAATCCCTTCCAGGTTTGGGTGCTCCCACACTGGATATTTTTTGCACACCAGATGCCCACCACTAAGTTTCACTTTTTAGGGCCACATCCAGGAGATGCTGGGAGCAGAAGGAACTTCTCGATTCTGTCTTTGGTCTGTGGGTTACATGCTGAAGAAACGCATATTCTCACTTGGGCATTAGCTACCAGACTCCATTTCCGTTTTGTGGCCACCCCTGAAATCTCACTGCTATTCTCAGTTCTTGCAGTGATGTCAGGCCAGTTACATCCCTTCTCTGTGCCTCAAGTTCTTCATGTGCAAAGTGAGATCATCCGAACCCTACCAGGAAGCAGGCAGGCTGTTCCATTTTGGTAAAGTGCAAGAAAAATATCAAATGCCTGGTAGGAAGGGCAAAGCCTTTTCTACAGAAATTTAAGGTAAGAGGTAAAGGTTAGCCCACTTCTCTGAACTACAGAAAGGTTCAGAAACTCAGGTCTCCCTGCCACAATGTGCATCTGCAGGAAAATGTATAGGAACTACTTACTTTAGTCGTAATGCTCTCTGTGTCATCATATCCCACCCACTCCTTGTCCTTGAAGGAATAAGGCACCTTCTGATCTTCAATCCTTTTGGTGGTGGCACCTTTCAGAAAAGTACAGATCTGGGGAGGAAAAAAGAGAGAGACCCAGACACTGAGAGATGGGAAGAGAGAGTGAAATCTGGGTGAGCTGAGGCAAAGGGGAAATCTAATAGTCTGGAAGCTTTATGTTCTGAAGGTTACAAACATTAGATTGCTGTAGAGCAGAGGAGTTGATTCAACAAGTCCCAGCAACATGTGCAAATCACAATAGAAACAGGAGCATTTACAAAGAGGAAAGCAAAATGCACCACACCTCATAGTAGGCCAAGAATCCTGCCTCCCGCGTGAAAGTGCCTGCAGCTGCAGGCCCAGAAGCAGGTGCGCCAACATCGGAGTCGGGGGAAGAGAGGGTGAAGCCCCGCCCGTAGGTGGGGATCCCCATGATGATCTTCTCAGCTGGAGCCCCCTTGCTTATCCAGTATTTCACGGCAGCATCCTGTATCAGAGGAGAGTTGGTTTGCCTTCCCTTTGCAACCAAACCTGGTGGTGGCTACATTTTACAGGACAGGTGGAAAGGATGGTAATTTTGCATCTTGACTAACAGAGCTAGATGTCTTGAGCTTCCCTGGAGCCTTACACTCTCCTGCTACCAGACCCGAAGTCTGCCCATGCAGTGAGCCAGGTATGTGGGTTTTATGGGAATATGCCCTCTGCATCTTTACCTATACTCTGTAGCCTTTTCACAATGATCTGGCTTGCTTTCCATGCAGAATACAGGCCATCCTGTAGCTCTGTGACTTCTAACTCCAGTTTCTTGTTAAAAGCCTAAACGCTTTGCCAGGGCATAAATGGGTTTTCCCAAACCAACTTCCTCCCCCTCTTTGCCCGTTCCCTGTGCAGCCAGATATTAAGTCTCCCCATTACATCCTCTATTCTTCCATGGGGCATAAGGCACTCAGTTTCCCTGTTGGTGTCTCAGGAATACAACACCGCTGTCAATGATGTGATTGAATGCACCCAATAACTCTGTGTGAACGGTTCTGTATTTTTGCTGGAATACCCGGTAATGGTGATTTAGATATAGTGAGAGAAAGTGACTTAGTAACTATTACCCGCTATTCTTTATCACATTTAATGTTTTCCAGGAGGCTGCATCCAGGCTAAATTTTCTCCCTCTATAGCTTTGCAAGCAATTTCAGCGCCTGTTGTCCAAGGTTTGGACCCCACTCCCCCAACCTGCACAAGGGGTTTAGATGGTGAATGCAGGCTCATTTCGGGAAAGATGCCTCTGCGGTCATCTCCTCTAGCTGAGCTCTATGGATCTGAGAGGTGAAAGCCACCTGCAAAAGGTCTTTGTTGCTTACAGTGTTACTGTATTCGGCAGGTCCTGTATCATTTTTTCCTTTGTAGAGAGGACTGACGTGGCCTGTGGTATGCTCCCAGGAGCCATGGAAGTCATAGGTCATGAGGTTGATAAAATCCAGTTCTCTTTAAAAAGGGGAACAGAAAACAAGAGGATATTTTCTCTGTACCTAGTGTAAATAGCACGGAGAATCCTGGGTAATAGCATATGATCACATGGCTTAACTGTACTCTAAAGCAGTGAGCGGGCACAGCTGGACACGGGCATGGGCGAGCTGGGTGGCAGCCCGGGGCTTGGACAGAAAAGGGGCTGAAAAGGTTTTTTTGGTTCCCCCCCACCCTGTTGTCCACTTATTATTATCATCATCTCTGGCAAAGTTTGCCCAGGGCCACCAGGAATCTAGGTACAGCATTGGCAGTGGGTTTCAACCGGTGGTCCACAGACCCCTGGGCACCCAGAGACTATATCTAAAGGGTCCGTAAAAGATGACTGTGATCAATCAAAAGTATGCGAATACCCACACTTACAATTCAGAGGGGTCCGCACCTCTGTTCAAAATTTTTAGGGGTCCGGAAATGAAAAAAGATTGAAAACAACTGTTCTATAGCACAGTGTGGCTGGACGAGACTCACTTTAGGATGCTGCTGACTTCGTAGCCTGCATCGATATTTTCCTTCCCAGCAGCCACAGCAGCAGTCAACAGCAGCCTGTCTTTCTGTGTCCTCTTCCCTTCCTCTGTGAATTCTTTAGCCATTTCCTTTGGGTTATAACAGAAAGCAGTAAGCATCAATGCGTTAACTGAGCCTTCAATCTGCTTTAAAAAAGGTCCATTTTAAACTAAAGAGGGACTGCCCATGCACCAGAAATGCACAACTCCAATAAGTTCCTGATCAGGCTGGTAGTTTGGGGTCACTCCAGTTAATTCATATATTCAGGGCCAAGCCTTGAATGATTTCACATGGGGACCGTGCTGTCCTTGACAGTCCTAAAAAACAAGAGAGACCCCAGGAAGCACATAAGCAAAGTGGTTGGTCAGAGTTTTGATGCCCTGGGCCTTACAATCCCTGTTTTCACCTTAGGGGGATTTCTCTAAAAGGGGATCCAGGCACCACAGGCTAGGAAGCCCAATACCTGGCCTTACCCATATGCCTCTCAAACAACCTCTTCCATTCTTCAGAATGGCTAAGCTGGAGATGAGCCCAAAGCTTGGATGAAAGCCCCCATGCAGGTCGCCAAAGGCTGGTTGTGCTGTATTCCACCTCTCTAATGGAAATTTTCAGATGCACATTGGCTCTGTCTCTACAGCACCTCCTCTAGCTTCTGCTGCATGGTTCCTCCACCCCTCACCAGCTTCTACCCTGCATGCTGCAGTGTTTGCAGATGCAGCCTGAGGCCTATCTAGGCTCATTTCCTATTTCCTTACTCCTCCTGCCAGGCCCTGGAGACAGGGGGCTGCGCTCCTGAGGCATGCCACACCTGGACTAGATCTGTGAAACGCTGTTTATCCTCAGGAGGGCTTCCTCTCGCTGCCGGATACTCCCAGTCTATGTCCAGGCCGTCGAAGCCATACTGGCGCAGGAACTGAATCACAGAGAGGATGAATGTCCAGCGGTTGGCAGGAGTGGACACCATGGTGGAGAACCTAGTGTGAAAGTTGGCCAGTCAGCAGCAGGAAGGCAGTAGTTGATAGTCTGTCTCAGGGGCTGGATCTAGTCTGTGGCTGCAGAGAAAGCCAAATACAGCTAGGAGGAAATGTGTGCACCCAGAGCCCTGCTCAGTGCTGATATAAAAGCTGTATGCCTCCTTATGCGGGGCAAATCAAAGTTTAGCTGTGCTGCTTTGTATTAGATTTTTGCTCTGCTTCTCCAGACTATTGGTTGCCAAATAGCATCTGTCGTATATGTATTGCAGGCATTTCAGTGGTGTTTGTCACCAGGATGTCAGAGCACCTCCTATAGCTGATTTCTGACATCGGGGATTATTAACACCATTTAAAAAGGAGGGAATTAGGTGACTTGCCCAAGGTTGTACAGCAAGCCAGTGGCAGAGCTGGGAATAAACACCTACTGTCTCCTGTCCCACCTTCAAAGAGACCATGGAGATGTCTGTACTGCCCTAGTCTTGTAAGGACACATGTAACTGCTTGACTGGAAGAGTGTAATAGCCCCCGTTTGTTTTCAGGGATTCTCCCTTCTTTGCCTTCCTGCCCTGTATATGCAGCATGGACTGAAGGTTAATCTCTTACTTAAAAGCACGGTCTCAAATATTGGTTTTTGGAGGGAATTTTCAGGGAGAGCTCTAGGTTTAAAGCTTTACAAAGGCTTGTGGGAAGCAATTGCCAAGGATTAGTGCTCTCCTGATAAGACTGCCCTTAAAACGTCATTTTACGTGACTCCCGCCAGAGAGGTTCCTGTCATTTTACCCAGAACTTCACTTGAGCTAGAACGACAATAATAATAATGCTCTCGTACAGAGAACACCTTCCAGAAAATGTATCCTTCAGTGTTGAGTAACAAACACACCGGCGTTGAAATTCCAGCTTTCAAAGCTGCCTCCTCGTGGGAAACAAGGAAACTCTGGGGGTAGTTTTTAACCTTGTAGCCCAATGGGGTCTAAGTGCCCAAAGACAAAAGTCTGGAAACACCCGTGTAGTTCACTTTTAATTTCATCCCAGTGTATGACAGGAGCAGCTGTATTGATTCCTGCTATAGCAGGGGTGAGCAATTATTTCGGGTGGAGGGCCACTTACTGAGTTTTGGCAAGGCATCAAGGGCCGCATGACAGGCAGCCGGGGGCAGATAAATATTAATTTTCTAGGGGCCCCGCAGGCTGGAAAGGATGGCCTGGCGGGCCGCATCTGGCCACATTTTGCCCACCCCTGTGCTATAGCATGCTCTTATTTAAACACCATGAGATGCACCCAGATACTGGAAACCCCTAGAGACAGAGCTTTAAAGTCCAGCACTGAGGTTGGGGCAGTAGCCTAGGATGTAGGAGAACCAGGCTCAGCTCCCTGCTCTCTCTGTGACCCTTATCGATGCTGCTTCTCTCTGGCGATTGCTGCCATCTCTGTCAAATGGGAATAGTAGCTAGTGCCTTATCAGAGACGTTGAGGAACAAGGTATGGTATTGTTGAGTCTGAGATGCTCCCACCTTGCAGCTATGGGAGACCTATATAAACACCTAAGAGAAAAAATCATTTTGTGGACTATATCTAAGACACTACTATTCTGTTCTGACTTCCCTGGATATGTCAGAAATTTTTTTGGCATCACTCTTTTCTATCCATTTGTGCATTTAGAAAACAAATATTCTTTGTCTTACTTTTGGGAGCCAAAATTCCATCCACCGATGGACAAAAGAGTCTTCAGGCTGGGGTTCCTGGGTAGGAGGAAAAGCACGTTACAAGAACAGAAAGACAGTCAGCTTCAAAATGCTTTCTACATCTGGGCTTGAAAGCATTTCTCTTTCTACAAGCGGGGGAAAGGTCTCTCTCATTCTGGGATGGAAACACCCTCACACCTTTCCATCTAGACTTGCTACGGATCAAGTTGAAGGAGCAGAACTTAGGACTTCCCTGAAGCTTAAGGACCTTTCGCAAAAACCACGGGCCAAGACATCAAATGGTGTGTTTTCTGGCTCTAGTTTAGCTGCTTATATTCTCCTTCACTTTAACCCTGAAAACCTGCTTTTCTGTCCTTGTCTGAGCCAGGTTTGGTGGAGTCTTCAAAGAGAGTTGTCACATCTTGCTCTACTTTTGAAGATAAGCTAGCCAATCCAAGGTTTCTGCGTCACGGATGGATTGGGTTTTGTCTTGTGGGGCGTTGAACACAAGATGATTCCAGGGGAGTTTTCTTCCTCGGTGATGATGAAAACAAGACCAGTTTGAAGTCCCGGTACGTATCCTAACTGTCTCCCTGCTACTATTTTGAGATAAGAGGCTGCACTCGATTGGTATGAGACCTCAGCTCTAGGAACAGGCCCCTCTCAGTTTACTCACTTGATTTTTAGTCCGTTGAAAGTCTTGTAGAGCTGCTCATCATTCCACTCAATGGTGGTGATCTTGTTCTCGTTCATGCCAGCAAAGGCATAAATGAGATGAGTGCACAGGTTGGTGTCAATGTTCTCGGGCAAGAAACGCCCCTGGGCAGGTCTGTACTGGGACCAGTTGGTGAAATAACACACCAGCTTGCAAGCAGAGCCTGTGGAGACAGGAAAGAAGTGCTTCAGAAACTAAGAGAGGTTGAGTAAAAGAATGAATTAAAAATGCAATGCCTGCCTCCAGCTGGCTGGACATAAGGGCTCCCCCAGGCTCTTTTTTGAGGTTGTATTGGACAGTGTTCCTGTTCTTGAGTTCACACTGGCCATTACTGGGTTGCCATTGGGACAGAAAGGTTGGGACTGGGACTTAGTTCTTCCAATACCTTTCCTGCCTGCAAGGAAGGATAGTGGCCATTACTTCTCCTTTGTTCCAGAATTGCAGCTGAACCTTATCCTGCTCCTTAAAAGGTTGGATGATTTTTCCCTACCCAGAACACAGATTTCTATGAACCTCTAGAAAACAGGTGATTAGGAGAAGAGTACTTACCACACTGCAGAAGCAGCAAGACTGCTAAGCCTACACAAGAATAGGAAAAAACTGGTTATTTAATGATGCTTCCTGGTCCACAAGCTCATGAACAGCAATGAGTACAACATTGAGGATAAAAGCATATAGAAATGCAGGAACTCCCCTTCTGCAAAGGCATTTAAAGCTTTTCGTAACCCAATGGACACAGATGTGTGCTCTGTAATGGGTTACAAACCCAAACCAGGGTAAGTTCCCACTCAGACCATGGACTGACTTGTGCAACTCTGTCCTGTCCCTGGCCTCCCACCATGTTGCTTCTTGTATTTAAAACCCTAGAGGGTGAATCTTCTGGGGAAAGGGATCTCTCTGTTTGGTACTGGCATCTAGTGTCTGATATCATAGCACCTTGCTTCACGATTGGAGCCCTTAAGCACTACTGCAATACAAATATAAAACTAGAAACTACCACAAGCTTCAGTCCTTTACGTGGCCCACAGCAGCATGTTACAGCTCAATTGGCATATAGGGCCACCTTTCCGCAGCACAGTTATAGCCATGCAGAACATGTGCCTCTTAATTCATCCAGGGTGCTTGAAGAGGACAGCCTTTAAAAAATGATTTAGGTTGGGAGTAGCAGACTAGGAGTCAGGGACATGTAGCTCCATCCCTTGTCTGCCTTTTTGGCTTTCAGAGAGGTCCCATCACTAAGTGGCCTCAGTCTCTCCATCTGAAACTCTGGGGATAATATGCCTTGCCTCCCATGAATGATATTCATCCTCTTTCCACCAACACTGCTACAGAAACGCATCCTGGCGCAGCCCCTGAAATAGCAGTAGGTGTCAGACCATTGCAACTTTCTATAGCCAACTTTTGAGTAGTGGGTATAGTTTCTTTTGAAGACTAATATTTGCATAAATTGGCATATCTTTGCCTTCCTGATTGCTGAAGGCATTATACAGTCTTGTATGTAAATCCAGTAGCAGCCCAACAGTCCTGGTCAGTCCCACAAATCCAGCTCAGGAGTCAAACTTACCAGCCCAAATGAAGGCCTGCCCCATGCTGGCTGCAGATGCTCTGGTCTAGGTTCTGGATGCTTGGCACGTGCCTGTGGCTGCTGATCTGTGCCCAGCATTTGCTTGGGCTCTGTCTTTCTTTCTTTATACCTCTCCACACCCACACAAAACAGCTGTTGAGCTCAGATTGGTGCGTACGGTTTTGCAGAAGTGTCTAAATGGAGGGGCAGATTTTGCAATCAAAATGATGTTTGTTTGTGGGATCACAAGGATTCATCAGGGTTATCCAAGCTGGGATTTTTGAAGCACATGTTCTGTTTGACTAATTTATACATCTCATTTGCAGCTGGGATACAGAAACCTTGCTGCTGTAAAGAGCTGGGTGTGCAAGCAGAGTGAACAGCAAGTTGCATTACTCCTGGACTTCCCAAATTATAAGCCCTTGTTGTAGTAATTACTTAGAAATACAGAAATGTCTCCCTCCTATAGAGCACTCTTATAACACATACACGTGAGCCGTCCTGTTGTTAAATCCCAAACAGGCTGCTCGCACGATTCATTCTCTGCGAATTCAACCGTTTGTCTGGTAAAGATCGGTGCTTTGGGGATCCCTCCAAGTGAATCGGTCACAAAAATATTAGAAACCACATGCAACCACATGCACTGGCTAAAAATCAAGACACAATGATCTCGTGGCTCTTTCCATAAAAGGCACAGGTGTCTTCCCATACGTCTAGCTGAAAATTCACCCATTGTGTATGGTGAGCCACTATCCTACGCCGCAGAAGTAGCTACATATCGCTGCTGGGGTTTACACACTGATTGTGAAATGCTTTCCAGTGAAAGGGGCTGTAGAAAGGATTGCCCTCCAACATTTAACCACAACTACTCATCTGCAACTTGGGCCTTATGAGAAGCAGGGCTGGAAGAAGGAGCTTGAAACAAGCAACTAGGGTGAGGAATTCACCTTAGGATCAATGTAACTTTGCCATCCATTGAGCCAAATCTATTTATAGGAAAAATACATTTGCGTTAATGGGACGGTAGTGTGTAAGTTATGCTAGACTGGATCACGTTAAATGGCCAGAAGCAGTACAAAACGGGGAAATGTAAGAAACTCCCTACTAGATGATCAATGCAACCTGCCTGCTGGGAAAGTTTCTTCCTTACCCTCATCAAATGGTGCCGGGATTATACCCTGAAGTACAACCTGACTATCTTCCTCTTTTTTTCTGTCGCCTAATTGCCTACTACAGATTGGCCAGACTTTACAAAAAAAAAAAAAAAAAATTCGAAGTTTAGTGTTTACGGCTGGATTTGCCTCTCAGTAACGTCCGTGTCCCTGCTTGTCCCGGTGGGGTGAATGAAAATAATGCCTGGCCCACATCTGTAAAGCAGAGTTACATATTTTCTAAGTACTTCGGGCTCAAAATTGTTCAGTTTCTGGCTAGAAAGATGCTCTGACCGCCTGCCAGGGTCACCCGCTTGCTCCGGGGTCTGACTCTCCAGCTAGATTCTCTCTCTCTGACATCACAGTCAGAGCCTAGCTGACCATTCTCTGGGCCGAGCCCCGGCCGTGGCTGGCTTTGCCGAGGCGAGGGAAGAGGAACGTCTCAGGAGAGCGAGCGGTGACTCTTCAAGTATGCAGGGAGCAGAAATATATACTGAGTAAGACCATGACCTTCCCAGTCACTTGGCTGGCACAACACTGGTGACTCAGAGGGGTGGCTGGTGCAAAAACAAAGTCCCAAGATGATGACTAGAAAACCTCAAACTTCTTTGGGACTGTGCTCATGGCGGGGCTCTTGTACCTGCTCAGCTGAAGGGGCACTATAAAGGAGCTAGGCATGTCCTTGTCATACACCGTTGAGCAGAACTCCAGGGAGAAAAAGCTTATTATATCCATCCTCGAGACAGAAAGCCATTTTCACCAAAAAAAAAAATATATATATACAACAGCTGGGATTGGTGTTAGTTATACAAGAAAAAAACATTCATTTTCAATACATAAAGGTTTTATTGGGGTTTTTTGTGATTTTTTTTTTCCCTGTACCCCCCCTAGCCTTTCAGTTTCCCCTTTTTCTCCCAAAGTATTGGAAAAGTGGAAAAGAAAGGAAAAAAGTTAACCAAAAGTGAATATCTGCTTTAGATGGCCAGTATTGTTACATTTTGATATTGGTGGGCTTTTACGAAAAAGAAAAATCAATTGGAGGGAAAAGCCAGTTGACCAATTCATTCAAAAATAGCCCCCTTCTAATCTGTGGGCCTGTGTAACCCCGTTGTCTTCTGCATGGCTTTCTGGTTTTTTCCTCCGCTTGCGGTATATTGACAGGAACCGTGGTGCATGTGTTTTAACCTGTTGCCTTTTGTGTTTTGATCAGACCATTGTAAAGTATAAGAAGCCAGATTCTAGGATCACATGCATGCAATACATTCAAATAACACACATTACTGGATTGCTTCCAAAGATGTTCCAGTTCTCACACAGTTTCCTGAAGTTAAAAAACGCTAATTAAGAGCTTATTATTCTAATTTATGTACCATCCTTTGTTACGTCTTCTGCTGATCCTAACACTAATACCACACCCATATTAACAGAAGCTGTCTAGGCATTGATATTCCAAAATGGAAATAAAAAATAGAGGGAGCATCACTTTAAACAGTGGCCCACCCTTTTCAATCAATAAGTTTCTCTAGAACTGTTTCAGTTCCCAAGCTCTGCTACCTGGTCGCGTTTTGTGAAGATGGTGTGTGAATTACTGGAAGGACGTTTCAAATGCAAACAAGTGACAGCTGTCTTCAGTGCAATCCTCCAGCCTGTTGGGGGGACGTGCATGTGCACAGAAATTATTCCCTTTACCCGTAGCACCATCTACCGGGTGTTCAGGGGAGTCACAGTGAACGCAGATATTGATATGCTCCTTGGCCAGCCAAGGGATTGCATGTACCCAGCCAGGAGAGGCCAGCTTGGGAACACTGTGTTCTTCCAAGGCTTCTGCTTGGTGCACGTTTGTCATGCTGAACCAAATAAGACACAAAGCAGGGACTTTTCCCAAAGTCTCACCCAATTAGCAATGGAGCTCAGTCGAGATTAAGGATTCTGGAAGTCAAGTGCTACAAGCCAATGCTGGATAATTGGATCTCTAGAGCAGTGCTCACTGCTAGCTGCTTCTGGAGAAGCGCTCTGCTCTCTAGCTGTTTAAATTGAATCCCTCCTTCCCAGTTGCAATTCCTCTGAATTAATGAGGGATGATCCTTTCTTGAGCAGGGGATTGAACTGGATAACCTCTGGAGGTCCTTTTCAGCCCAAATTCTCTATGATCCTTTTAGAAGTAGCAGACTTTTGGTGGAGCTAGGGAATAGCTTTTAAAACTGGCAAGCACGTGTTCACATGGGGTTGACTGGTGGGCAATCAGCCTGACCGTTCTTTTTCTTTCTGATGTGCAGGGATCCTGGTCTTCTCCGACTGAAAAAGAAAATCCCCATTTTTCGCATATAAAAAAGTAACCCCAAATCCACATTTTTCTGTGATTTTTAGAATCAAACACCACTATACAGGCAGCCCCTGCTTAACGCTGTTTCGCTTAGCGCTATTTCGTTATAACGCTCATTTTAAATTGATACCTGATTCCACTGCACGCTTAGCAAGTTTTGTTATAACGCTTGCTGTCACCATTTTGTGGTCGTCATCTTGGGTCATCAAATACTTTCAGTTTTGCTTAATGCTCATTTTTGTTTAACGCTCATTTTGTCAGGAACCAATTAAGAGCACTAAGTGGGGGTTGCCTGTGTGTGTATATGTATATACATATACATGTGTATGTATATGTGTGTGTAGATGGACTGGACAAGCACCTAGTAGACTGTAGCAGGCTCGAAGCAGTATACTGGAGCTGTGCCAAGGCACGGTATGAGAAACATTGGTACAGCTTTTAAGGTCACAGGTGTGACTTATTGTCACTGCCCCTTGCTGGTTGCAGTTGTCCCCTTCAGCTCTGCCCTCATCTGTCCAGAGCTGATCACTTCTGGAAAATGACTCTCGTGCAATGTGTCCTGGTGCAGAGAAGTGTTTCTGCTTCCCCAACCCCTGCGTTGATGGCCCTTATTGAATTTCAAGAGAGCAGACTAGTTAAAACAAATGTGCCCAGAGCATTCATGCAAACACACATTGCTAACTGCACTTGCTACAGTAATGATTTAAATGGTTTGACTATTCAGTCCTCCTTTGATTTTTCTTTTTCTTTTTTTACCAGTCAGAGCCCAAAGCTGCATTCAGCTATCTAAAGGAGTACAAGGCAGTGCCTTTCAGGCTTTCCTTGCCTCACAGCACACCTAATTTGCTGTGTTTATAACCCAGCCACTAGCTTCCCCTGACTATACTTATTATTATCACTGATCTTGGAAACAGCTCTCAAGAATGTCAGTAAGGCTTTTGGCTCACAGCATGCAATGTTACTGAGAGAACTAAAAGAATAAAAAGGATGCAGATTGGTAAGATGTGGAGGAATGGGTGAGCCAGTAAAAATGATTTCCATCCGTGTTAAAAGGCCTGTTGAAAAATAGAGGGTTTTGCAAGCAGTAAAAGGAGAGAGACCTAGCTTTGTGCTTTTACAAAAAAACATGCAGACCAAACACACAAAATATCTGAGAACAACATGGGCACAGCTACCATGTGGCTCCCCGGGATAGTCAAATAGAAAAGTGGTGGTGACTTTTAATAGCTAAACGTTATTCCTTTGGTGTTAGGACAGGGCAGTAGAAGACATGGTGGTAGGTACCTTTTCATCAAAGGATGTCTAAAAGGAAACTTAACAGTAGCTGTATGTCCCCAACCAGGTTTGGCTCTTCCTTTCTTTTTACAGGTTTTGAGAGTTTTCAGAAGATTTAGGGAGGGGTCTTGTATTGGGATTTTAATGAGGTCATGAATCCAGCCCTTAATAGGGCAGCGTGGTGGAGAGTTGTGGGAAGGACGGTCACTGAAAGGCTATACACTTCCTAAAAGCACAGAAGCCGAATGATATTTAGCGAACAAAGAACCCTGAACGTGGGGACAATGATTATTGTTCTGTATCACGCAATTCATAGTCCGTATTTCCAGCACCTTGTACATCAGGCTGTCTCAGCATCTGTGGGTGTGATCAATTGGTCTGATCACTCCCCAGCATACTAGGATCAAAAACC